ACAGCTAATCACAGAAATCACCTTTAGTCACCACAGAATATCACAAAATTCCAAAAAAGTAGCACAGAATATCACAGGATTCTAAAATATCGCAGTATTGATCATAAATTCAGAAATGTAGACAACAAGTCAACATAAATTACGAACACACGTTTGTCGGGATGTTACGGAATTTTTGCGCATTTTATATTTTTAACCGCATTAAATCACAGAATCAACACTAAGTTACCACAGAATTACGCAAAAATTAATTTTATTATCACAGAATTTCGCAGAATACATTAAAAAAAACAGCACATGACATCACAGAATTTTTCTTAACCGCATACAGAATTTGGTCTTAACCAAAACAGAAAATCATCGGCCCTGCCCGAGTTATACCTTAATCGAAATTAATCGAAATTTTAAAAACTAAATCATTACGAATAAAAAAAACGAATATGTATAAAAATAACTATATCATGATTAAATTAATACTGTCAGAAGTCTTTACCATGAAATCTCGATAACCTTAAGCCTAATAAGGTTGCCGAAGCCAGTATCGCTTCCACCTGTGGGCTTTTGTATACCATTGTGGACAGTGACCCTTTTTCCTTGTTGACGGGAGGGAATTTCATATTTGGCCAAGATCTCGTTGACGATTCCACGATCCATACCGAGGTACTCGTATATGATTCCAATATTTCGCACGGCAATAAAATTTTGCCGAGTATCTTGCCCCGAAAAATCGTTGTTATAGTAGTATTGTGATACACCCCGATCGAATGTGTGGCTTCCAAGATCGACTCCGTCAGTGTAAATAATTCCTGCCCGTCGTAAAATTGGGTCAAGTCGTTTCTTTGCAATCTCGACACATATACAACAGATCGCGTTATGTAGAGGTGTATTTGCCACAATAGTATGTCCTTTGGCTGCGTTGGAGGAATGTTTGTCTTTATAAAGTTTTTCGATTTTTTCGAATAAATCATTGAGAGAGCTGATGCCCAGTTGATCCTTTGCTTGGTCCAATAATCTTCGTCTTTGGTCTTGCTTAATACGGAACCAATAGGCGCTAATAGTTCCTCGGTTGAGCTGGATTGGATCAAATCGATCATCGGGATTTCTGTACTGTTCGAGGTAATTAATGAGGGTGCGAGCGGGTGCTTCGTTGACTTGGTCGGGTATATGTTCGTTTTCAACCAGCATAATACGTTTCGCCAGAGCGCGAAAGAACTGTGGCTTATTTTGTCGTACAATATTTTGATAGCCTCGGCGGCCCACTGATATGGGTAGAATGGGAGCTTCCATAATCTCGTCCAAATAGAAGGATAGTTTTCCCCAAGGGCCAATCGGTATGTCTCGGTGCTCAATGTCTCGTCTAATAGCGTCGTCCTGTGGATACACATTTCGACTAAGGGGTAATTGGACAGGGTCACCGATAAAGTTCCGTTGCTGAGAGCGGCGCATTGCTCGTTCAACGTTGCGTTTTTCATCAGTGTAGCTAGTGTAGGCTGATTGCAATTCATGCTCCCATATATTGGTAAGATTAAAAGGCAGATCATGCATACGAGGAGCGTTGAAATACATGATCTCCTCCAAAAAACCCTCCCCATGGTGTCGTAAGACCTCCACACCGTTTTGTATGTTTTCATTTGTTTGACGTAGTACCCGATAGACGCCGTTTGGTAGATCATTAACTCGGTAGTTTCGATAGATTTCATGTATATTGCGCCATACATGTTCTCCCCATCGTGGTGGATCCATAAAATAATTTTCATGTTGTGGCCTAGGAGGTTCTTGTTCTGGTAATATTATTGGATTATTATTATCATGATTCTCAGGATCTGGGTTCTCTTGCTGTACCTCAGGAGCCACCTGATCTCCTTCAGGTTGAGGGTAAGCAAATTCTTCAATTTCATCTGCCTCATTAGCTGCTGCTTGTGCTTCAACTTCAATGTTTTCTTTTTTTTGGGTCGTAGTATACTTGTATGTTTTAAAGTAAGGAGAAAGTTCTTGGTTGAAGACTGCAGTCTGTAGATCCAAACTGTCTGTGTTCCATGCCATTTTGAGTGCTTCAACACCGAACAAAACTTGAACATAGATTTTCCATTTTTCCCAACTATTTTGTTCTAGAGGAACAATCTTATTTTTTGTGGGTGCTGCTAATAGCCTTTGTTCTATAATTCTTTTGCGATGTAATTCCTGAATGTGTGCTGCATGTTGCATCGCCTCTTCTGGTTCGAGATTTATTTTTATCTGGCTCTCAGCATTGATTACTATTGTGCGTAGATTCATATTATGGATTAATGTTAATGCTTTTTGATATACATTAGGGTTTTCTGGTTCTTCAACTAATAACACATTTCCTATTCTGCTTAAGACCGTGCGATTCCATACTACTTCCTTCCTTTCATATTCAACGGTGGGTACATTATACACAAATCCCTTAACTGTAGGGTAGTAGGCACAATCTATTTTACGGTTTTGTACCAAGGGTAATTTTTTCTCGAATTCATCGTCGATCAGCCCTCGATCTACTTTGGAAAAGAGTAGCACTCTTTGGTCCCCATAGGTATTCCAAGTTTCCACCTTGATTATATAAGTGGGACCTGTTATATAGGGGTCCTGATCTTGCCGTAGACAAATTTCGACGAACCAAAGAAAAAATCCTAACGTACTACGAATCAAAAAGAAAAAAAACGAAACAAAGGCAATAAAAAAATGGTTTAATTCTATTCTAGAACATTAAAAATTAATAAAAAAAAAATTAAGAGACAATTTTTAGTGCTTCATAATGTCAAACTGATAATTTTATTTAATAATCTTTATATGGTTACAGTGTCACTTAGCTTTAACTCTTCTATATAATTACAGAGTTAGTCTGGATTCCGTTATAATGATAGCGATAGTAAAAAAAAAAAAATAAAAAA